GGAAAACTGGTGCAGGATATCTAAGCAACTTTTGCATTCCTAAATTCTTGAGAACATTCAATAATTACAAGTTGCATGTTCTTATGTTCTTTATGTCCTAGAGGCAAATTGCCAAACAAACCCGGTATTGCAACATGGAGGGGGCAAATATTGTCTTAAGGAGAGTGTCTAACACGATTAGAACACATCCAAATCTTGTGACTCCCCCCATTATTGTTAGATTCAAGTTTCTAACAATAAAGTTCATAAATCTTTCATCTTTATTCTTTAGTGTCTTTGTGTTGTCTCTTTGATTACCACCCTCATATACTTTCATTCTCTTCTGCGGAGACTGAACCTCTGGTGGGTGGCGGCTTTCTTCTGCGAAATTGAGAAAATAGAAAGAAGTGTGAGTGGCGGCTGGGAGGGGATGGGTAGGTTAGGTTTTTCCAATTGAAATTTATAAAATTATGTTATGACCCCCTTAGTTTAGACTACTGGTAAAATGACCTGGAAATTTAACATAATACTTAAAGTTGCAACCAAATTTCTTATTATTATTTTTTTTTTTTGACAATCTATCAGCTACCGCATTTGCCTCTCTGTATATATGTGTAATGGAAAAACCATTTCTTTGTTTTTTTTAATTAAATAGGAAGGTTGGAAAGAAGTTCAGGTTCTAACTGATTTAAAAACACTCAAGGGATCTACCCAAGAGATGAATTTTTAAGGGTGTTATAGCCAAATGATATGAAGCACCCAAGGGGTATATCCAAGGGATGGACTTACATATCATTTAGTTCCTTAGCTTCCTCCCTCCCTTATTTTATTAAATATCAACAAGAAACTTGGCAGTGCATAAGACTTACCAGTATACAAAAAGCTCTTTGTATCGCGACCGGATATATGGAAAGGCAACCTGATCTAGATGTACAAGCCCCTTAATATGTCTAGGTAGACTACTCATAGTATTGTATTTAGTTGATATTCCAAGAGAAGCTTCATCTGTTAATCCATCTGCCACTGAATTTGCCTCTCTAAAAATATGCTGAACAGTATAAGCCCGCATCTCCATGATGTGACAAATTTCCATCAAGTGAAAAGAATGCTTCCATGGAACATTCTTCATAGACAGTAAAAGGCTAGCTAGACCTTTATTGTCTGTTTGGATATCCACCTTCTGTAAGCCAAGCTGACAACATTTCCTTACCCCAAACAGGACTCCATAAACCTCCGCATCAAAACTATCACCTCTTCCTAAGTAACCACTTTCACTATATACAAAGCTACCATTCCTTTTCCTGATGCAAAAGCCATATCCATAATCCGAAATAATAAGTGAGCCATCAGTGTCAAGAACATAATCACTACCCTCTGAAGCCTTCCACCTACTAGCCATACAAGTTCTCATTCACACCTTTTGAAGCTGAAAGCCAAAATTATTTTCAATCCAATTCCTCTCTTCTACATTCCGCGTCTTCAAATCATGAGTCACTAAAACATTCCGTATGTCTACCTTGGTTGCCAAAATAACCTTCTCCCTATTGAATTTCTCTCCTTCAAAAAGCATTTTATTCCTCATTTTCCAAATCTCCCAAAGAATTAATGACGGAATAATCTTGATAAGAGCTTTCAAAGCTGAAGAGAAACTTTCACGATTCCACCACTCATTTAAAACCACAAGCAAGTTAACTTCCTCCCTCCACGACATGCCAAACAAATGAGAAAAGAATTTCCAAATTTCCTTGACCTCCAAACACTAAAAAAAACAATGCACCATTGAGTCACTTCTGACCTTACAAAAAAGACACATAGATGGCAAAACTTGTATTCCAAACATACTCGAGATTTCTTGAAATGGCACTAGCAAATTCCGCAACTTCCACATAAAAAAGGAGATTCGCAAAGGAATCAATTTATGCCAATAGTTCTTAGAAAAGTTATCCTCCAATTCTCTCTTCCTTAGGCTCAAATAGGCAGATTTAAAGGTGAAAGATCCAGAAGAAGAATGCTGCCATATTAACTAGTCACAGCCTGGTACAAGTGTTTCATCTGAATGCTCCAGAGTCTGCAACACATCCGAGGATAACAAATCCTGCAATTCATGCAAATATAAAGATTTTTTATTTATGAAATCTTTAATGGTCAGGTCTGGAATAGGGGGATTCTCATTCAAATCATTCCATATCACCCCCGTAGATGTCTAGTTTTTAAACCAGAAGGATCGATCTCCCCGCAAACTAGAACCTTTGAACCTTGCGACGCTTCCTCATCAACTTTGATGATTCTACTCCAAGATGTTCTTTCTTTTCCTGAAATCGAGAGAGAAGAAATAAACTTACTCCATAATCCATTCTACTGCTTGAACTTCCACCATAACTTACATGAAAAGGTGCGCAACACATCATCAAATTTCCACAACCCAAGTCCATTTTCGGAAATAGGATAGGTCAGCCGATCCCAAGCTCTCCAATGCCTCCACTTTTCTTCGTTCCCCCCATACCATAGTAACCGTTGACATTTCCTCTCCATTTCCTTCAACACATTTATTGGAGGAGGAATAGCTGCCAACACATGACTCGGGACTGCCGATAAAACGTGTCGTAAAAGAATTAATCTCCCACCTGGTGACAAGAACTTATTTTTCCAGCTAGAAATTTTTGAGTCTAAGGAATCCAAAAGGAATTGAAATGAACTTGCTCTACTCCTTCCATAGGATAAGTTACAGCCAAGGTACCTAAATGGAAAAGAACCCTTAGACATAGACAAAATTCGCTTTATGATTTCGACCCGACGAGCACTACAAGACTCAGCCACCAAAAAGAAACTTTTACTCCTATTCATTCTTTGACCAGAAGCTACTTCATATGCTTCAAAAAGTTTGGTTAACTCCTTCAATTGCCTTGCTTCTCCCCTAGTAAAAACAATGAGATCATCTGCGAAGCTTAAATGTGAAACCCTCATAGAGCCCGCCGGTGTTCCATATGCAGTAACTTTACTCCTCCTAACAAGATCATTCAACTTCCTAGACATTGCCTCTGAATCAAGATAAATAAGTAAGGTGATAGTGGATCTCCTTGCTTTATTCCGCGAGACGATTGAAAGAAACCTGTTGGGGAACCATTCACCATTACCGAAAACCAGCTGCTCTTAAGGTTATTCGTAACCGAAAGAACGAATTGACTCAGAAACCCTAACTCCTTCATTACTTTTTCCAAGAAGCTCCAAGAGACCCTATCAAACGCCTTCATCATATCAGTTTTGATAACAACATTGTTTCCAACTACCTTATGGTTAATGAATTGACAAAGGTCTTGAGCCAAGACAACATTGTCAATTATATCTCTCTCCGATAGAAAAGCAGATTGCTCCTCAGAAGTAGTTTTTGGCATTACCAACTTCAATCTTTCAGTAAGAATTTTTGTGAAAACCTTATTAAGAAAGTTGCATAAACTGATTGGTCGGAAGTCAGAAAATGTACTAATCGAAACTTTCTTCGGAATTAGAGTAATCACAGTACTTGTCACTGCCCTCGGGATTGGAGAATCATTCATAAAATCTTCACACGCAGCTTTAAGATCATCGGCTATTATGTCCCAACATGACTTATAGAAGCTCCCTCCGAACCCATCTATTCCAGGCGCACTTTCTTCATCAAGATTGAAGACCGCCGACTTAACTTCTTCCATTGTAACCGGGCCAATTAACATTTCCTTCTCCTCTTAGCAGAATTCATCATTTAGCTGATCAAGGAAAATTTGTTGCTTTTCATTCTGCTGCAAATGAGGTGAGTCTTCAGTAAGGTGATGCTGAAAAAATTCCACCGCCTCTTTTTCTATTTCTTCCAATTCTATTAAAGTTCGGCCATCATCTGTTTGTATCTTCTGTATCCCCATTTTCATCTTCTTTTCTGCAAGAGAAGCATAAAAATAGGCAGAATTACTATTACCTTCCTTTAGCCATGTTAAACACATTTTTTTTTTGCCAAAAACCTTCATGCTCCTTGAGTTTTTGAAGCAAAAATGCCCTAGTCGAGTGTAGATTTTGCCTGTCATTTGTGTGACCAGAATGATCATACAGCATTCGAACTCCTCCACTCATTCCTCCGCATTTCTCAAATTCTCAAAAACATCACCAAAATGCGTTTTATTCCATTCTTTTAACACTAGCTTCAGCCTACGCAATTTCATCGAGAAAGCCATCATGCCAAAGCTATTTGCCGGCTGCAACCAACTAGCTTTAACAATATCCTTGAAGTCACCTCTTCTAAGCCACATTCTCTGAAACTTGAAACATCTTGGTCTAGTCTCAAGTTGAGTATCAAGCTGAAGCAATAAAGGGGAGTGATCCGAGGTAGTGCGACTTAAGAGCTCAATGGAAACACGGGGAAATATTTCCATCCACTCTTGAGAGAAAAGGATACGATCCAACTTCTTACTAACTCAGCCTGTAGTACGCGTCCCACCCCAAGTGAATTCATCGCCAACCGTAGGAGCTTTCATCATATTATTAGCTTCTATACACTGGTTAAACTCGTCAATAGCACCATAATCCTGAATTGTATTTCCCTAATACTCTTCCAAAGACCTTATAATGTTAAAGTCCCCCCAACGACCCAAGGCTGAGATTGATGCAAATTTCTGAAATTTTCCAAATCTGACCATAGAGATCTTCTCTCCACTTTGTGTGACTTGGCATATACCGCAGTGAGTAGAAAGTTTGTTTGAAGAGGCACATATCCTACCTCAAAATGTATTGTTTGCTCACCAGCGGGCAACTGGTTAACGGTGTAGATTTATTATGAAAAACCCAAATTTTACTAGTATTTGAGGAGAACGCAAAATAGAAAACAAGCTCACACCTTATTTAATGCAATTTATCTATGGTAACATTGGTTCCAAGATCACCAAAAAACCAACTCTATAAATCCGAACAAGAGTTCTCAAATGTCGCTGAGAGGCTTCCTTTCTTATTCCTCTAATATTCCAAAAAATAATACTTATCATTGAAAATAGTAGAGATTATTGTAACCGGTTTGATCGCCGAAGCTCTTGGCCATCCAGCAGCCTAGCTCGCTCCTCCTTCGATTTGCGGCCTCTTTTCTTCTTGGTAGAAAAAACCCCTTGCGCTTTTCCACCCAAAACAGCCTCCTCCTTATCGCCTTCAGACCAACACTCCCCTTGCGCAATATCATCATCATCCGTTTCATTCAAATCCATTACCAAGGAATCATCCGGGTAAGCAAGCTTTGCGAAACCTTCATCCTGGTTATTGGTCTTCGTTTGATCATCATGAACCACCTGAGCATCTTGCGTTTCTTCTGTATGCGCAATCGCTTCTTCTACTTCATCCTCTTCATTATCCAAAGTTTTAGCCGCGTCTCCATCCAATTCAAGCGTCGCGAACTTATTAGATTGAATTAATGGAGCTTTAATATTCAACTGATTTGCATCTGCTACTGAATCCTGATCGAGGAGGTTTGATTGCAAAGAGAACCCATCATCCCCTTGCGCAATGACATTCTTCTTTGAAACTTCTTCCTCTCGTGTCTCAGGATCAAAAGAGCCATCATTCCCTTGTGCGATGACTTTCTTTTGTACACAATCAACATCTCCCACCTTTTGACAACCAGAATCCAGAGGTTCACTATCAATAATATCAACGGGAATAGCTCTTTTCTCCAATGCCGACAAGCCCGAAGTCGATTACCCGGCATGAGTTTCTGCCAGCATCAAATTTTCTGTAGGCTGCGATTTTTCTACGCCCTTAACCATAAGAGGGTTTTCTTGAATGATGGTGACCTGTAAATCGTCCTTTTTACCTTTTTTTTTGGAACTCCAAGTAACTTTTTTCTGCTGCAAACGCAAGCCACCCTTAGCCCCAGTCGAAATTTTCTCTGCAGCAACGCGTTCTGCCGTTTTCAGACCCTCTTTGATCACTCCTTTTCCTTTCCTACAGGCCACTTCTTTATGTCCAATTTTGCAGCACGCTGGACAATAAGACGGAACATGTTCATAGGTATAATGCTGCTCGTACTTCTTGCCTTTTTTCCCAATCTTGATTGATTTTGGCGAATCCTTCATTAGATCAACCTCCACGCAGAAACGCGATATGGAAGGCCTTGTCAAATTAAGGGTTGGTGTATCCACTTGCAAGGGTTTCCCAACAGTGGAGGCAATGGAGTAGAGCACCGTAGGGTGTGTCCATTCCAAAGGCAGCTCATGAAGCGAAACCCAAATTGGGACGATCGGAGAATCTTCCTTGAACTTAAACCCCGGTTGCCATTTCAAAATGCGCATTTGAAATTCGCCAATATTCCATACAGATGTGATCCAACATCGTTGATAGTCCTCCTCCAATTCGAACCGAATTAACACATGTCTCGGATTCATAAGACCAAGGTCATAGCCGCCTTTGAATCCAATTTTCTTAAAGTCTTCCCTCAAGATCTCCATTTTTGGTCGACCATACGAGAATTTGCCAACCAGATTCATCTTGTGTGGAGCGATCAAATCGTCGAACTCATCTTCTTCATATTCAAGCTCCGGAGTGCCATTGAAAAAAGTGACCTTCCTTGGGTTTTTGAGGGATTGGAAATCCACCATATTTGGTTTTGCAGTAGCTGTTTTTGCTAAAAGGCTTGCAAAAGTACGACATTGTCCAGTGGGGACTAGCGCGGTATCAAGGGTTCATGGTATTCCGGCCATGGTGGCCAGAAAAGAAGCCATCAAAGCTAGGGTTTGTATAGTAGAGAGAAGAGAGAAGAAAGCGGAGCCTATCAAACGAAGTAAAACCATTCTTAGTATTTAATTTAGTATATTCTTAAATGTGAAGTTAATTTATTACCTATAGTATAATAATGACGTCATCATGTTTTAAGACTGATTAAACTGATCACCCAAATAAGAAGGCCAATTCGGTCTCCAGCCCAACGTAATCATCCGTTTTTTGAGAAATTATCTCGTGAGATTGGTTAATGTACCAAAATTTCCCAAATGTATATTTTAAATCAGAACATTTGCCAAATGCATATTTTAAATCAGAAAATATTTAAATTCTTAATTAAAAGATAAGGTTCCTGCACAACATCCAATCCTAATAATCAGGCTCCAAAATCTACGTACATGGAATTCATAAAGATAATTTCTAAAATAAAATATACTAGATGCTTGCCCCGGGCAAATGCCCGGGGGCGTCTTCCAACCTAATAAATTAATATGTAAATAATAAAACTGATTAGAAATGAATAAATGCCCAGGGGCGTCCTCCCATCTAATACATTAATATGTAAATAATCAAAACTGATTAGGAATGAATTTAATTTTTAATGAAGATAATTGATTTGTCGAAAATTAATTTTTTCAAAAATCCTAAATAAGTGGAGAAGGAAAGTTCCATTTACTGTCAAATTCAAAATTTGAATGAACATAGACATCTGATCTCTTTGTTAATATTGTAAATATATTTTTTGTTTTTAAAAAAGGGTGACACGTGGCAGAATGGTTTATGCAATATGGTGCATTTGGAGCCAAAACCTTTTAATAAGAAATTGCCACATCAGCATCCTGTTTCCTGCTTTAATAGGGTAAATAAATAAATAAATAAAAGGGATAATAAGAAATTGCCACATCAGCATCCTGTTTCCTGCTTTAATAGGGTAAAAGGGATAACTGATCTCCTATCATAATCTACCTGCAATCAATCATATACTTCAATTAGGATTAGGATTGTTGTTACAAAAGACATAAAGCTTCATCGGTACGCATCTCTAATACCAATATATATAAACGTGATGATACGTTTTAGTTGCATAAAGTTTCATGGAAATTTGTCTTTCTTTTCATCTCTGTGGTTGGGTGTATCTCATTATAATTCTTTTTTTCCAATACAATATAATTGTTATTGCTTGTGAATATTTTCTGGCTGAAATTTAATGTTTGGATCTTTTTGTTACGGCTTGCTCTTGGATCATTTTGTGGCATATTTGATCTATTGACAGTATCAGGTATTCGTGCAGTAAGCACACATGAGCACGTTTTAATAAATTTTGTTTCCGTTCTTTTCATCTTTGCTGTTTTAATTAATTTTAGATTAGTGGTGTTTGAGTTTGAATATGGAAGTTATGACTTGTGCCGGCTGTAAGATTAAAATTTGATGGTTCCTAATGGTTTTTTGTTTGTAGTATATTGTTGATGCCTCACATGATAACAGGAGTATTCATTCTTATTTTGTTGTGATTATTTTGACATAGTCGTGTTCTGCCGTATTATAATGATGCAGAATATTATGTTGACCGTTGAGGCAAAAATGGAGTATCTTTTTCTGTTTATTTCTTCTTTTAAATCTTTCACACATAAATTGAACTTGCACCTCTTTTCCTTGTGCACAAATTTTCTAAATATTTTTGTTTCATTATAGGTACAATATTTGAAAAAAAAAAAAAAACCTTTAAATATGTTATTGATCATCTTCGCGTACGGATGAAACGGGGAGGTACCTTGAATGATAACACTTCATTAAAGCTAAGAGTGTTTATGAAATTGTCATCAATAATTTGAGTTAGAGGATACATAAAGTTTTTGCTTAGGAAATTGTAAAAAGTATTTTTTCTTTCCCCATTTCTCATCAATAAAACATTTTTCTTTATCTCTTTAAATAAATACAATATGCCATCGCTTGAAACTATTGATACATTCAAACAAGCCATAATAGTGACTCTATTGGGTAAAAAATAGGGAATAATTTTTTGAAGGAAATTAAATTATACAATCAGTTCATAGGGTAAAAATATATCATAGCCATAAAATCATTTTTTTCCAAACCTGGCTCTATCAATCAAATCGGCCTCTCGCTCCGCCGAAGTTGCCAAGAAAATATTTCCGTTTGGGCTGCTTTGTGAATTAATTTGTGATTGTCTACTCCTCAAATCGAGGAGGCTGCTATCATCGTGAAAAGAAATTTTCAAAATCCATTTCTTCGGCTTTGAAATCGTAGATAAAGATGGAGATTATGTTCCCGTATTTTGTGTACAAACGAAATCATAGGATCAGATATGCTTTAATTAGAAATATCAATTTGAAAGTATCATATTACGCATATTGTTTCCCAGCCGGCATGGATGGTCGGAGGCTAGGAACGACGCTAATGGTGTGGGAAAGTTTCTAGGATTAACTATGATGGATTTTGCGGAATTTGGGGCCAAAACTTTAGAGGAATCAAAATTAAATAAAATTAATAACTAATAGAGGCAAAACAGAGAGATTTGGGAATTTCTTGAGAGTGGTTGCCCCTCTATATTTTCGCCAATGTTTTTTTTTTCTAATTTTAATTATCACAAATTTTAGCAAAAGCAACAACCCTCGAAGATTCAGGGGGACTAAATGTAATCAAAATTAAATGAATTTTGCAAATAAAAGAAATCAAATGAACTTTGTGTTAAAAATATAGTACACGTGTCATTGCAGGATTTGCTTGCTGTGAAATGTTTTCTCACCACATTAGGGTAGAGCTGAATATGGATTTGCTTGTTGTGAAATGTTTTCTCACCAGATTAGGGTAGAGCTGAATATTATTTTAATTGACTGGATCAATGTTATAGTGTGTTTTATCTACTCTTTAAATCCTTTCAGGTAGAATACACTTTAATTCAACTATCCCATTTTGAACTTCAAATTTTCCATTAATTATGGAAATCATATGTATGTTAATAAATTTCATTAAACAAATAGATATCTTATTATATATTAAGGGAATTTTTTTTACAAGACACATGTTAGGCAATTATCTCATCGATAATTTCCAATTACACGTGTCATCTTCTTATTCGTAGAGATTTTTTTATAGTTCACATGTCATCTTCTAATTCACGGATTTTTTTTACTGAGTATTTTATACAAGTAACATGGTTATTTTAAATAGGATAAAGATAAAGAATGACATGACTAAACATGAATAAAAATGGGTTGAGAGTTAGTTCTTCTTTTTTTTTTCTTTTTCTTTTTTTTCTGGTTCAACAAGTGTCAAAAATACTAAAATAGCATCTATCTATTATAATATATTAATAGAGAAACCAGTGAGAGAATTTCAGGATTATTCCTAAAGCGCCATGTAGGACAAAATCCTACGTGGCATTCTCACCAAAAATGAGTAACATATATCAAAGAATTTTATACAAAAGGTCCCTACACTTATATTCATCATTAATATACCAACACTAATTATTCGGAGAAAAGAAACGTTTGACCGGATTTGCATCAAAATATGTGATCATAATTATATCAATCAAAAATGGAAAGTAATTAACACATATCAAAGAATTTTATGTAAAAGGTCCCTACATTTCAATATAGGAATTTCAAAATGCCAGTTACTTATTACATTAATATTCATCATTAATATACCAACACTAATTAATTCGGAAAAAAAAAAGTTTGACCGGAATTGCAAAAAAATATGTGATCAGAATCATATCAATCCAAAATGGAAATTAATTAACACATATGAAAGATTTAATAAAATCCCTTTATTTTTGCTATTACGAATATAAAGTCCACTGACAACTACATACATGTATGCGCCTCGATTATATATAACCCTCCCCAAATGCTCTACATTGTTGTTATTATAATCTTTTGCCAATACCGATATCATCAAAATAAATCCTACAATTCGGTCCCGATCATCCATGGCCTCACAGTATGATTTGATCCGCGACCTAACGCCGATGAAGGTCAAATCAAATTGGAGAATACACATGCGTGCACTCTGTGTTTGGAAGCCTACATATGGTCAATCGAAGGATATAGCATCGATTCAACCTTTGTTAGTTGACTCTCAAGTACACAACTCTCATATTTAAATTTATGTGTCGCACAATTCCGCAATATATTTTCTCTTAACTTATTCGTATATTTAATAAGTAACTCATATTGTTATTTTGTGGTGAAGGGTGACAAAATTCAGGCACATATTAAAAAACCATTAATCCGACACTTCCAAGACAAAATCGTTGAAGGATACACCTATGTGATCCAAAACTTTGATTTAGCACAAGTGTCAAAAAATTGTGCCTACCGGACCAATACTCACCCATACACAATATCTTTTTGGAGCAACACCTCCATTGAGTCAAAATCTGGAGATGATATCCCTACAGAATGTTTTAACTTCGTGTCATTCACAAATCTACTGAGCAACCCTCCCCAGATTAAATTCCTGATAGGTGAATAAATAATTTTCTATCAATCTATTCGCATAGTCATTGTTTTTCTTCCAAAAAATTTATAGTTCAATATTCTATATTCATTTTGTTACATTGTCATACTGAACTTGATTTGATCTTTAATAGATGTTATTGGTGAGATAGCTTCAGCAGAAAATATAGATGCTGGAGAAGACAAAAGAATATTGAATGTTGAACTTGAAGATATTGAGTAAGTTAGATTTATTATAGATTTATAGCTCCTATCATCTCAAAACTTCTTGGGTCTTCAATATATGTGGTGAAAATGTAACTTTGTCTGATTTCATTTGGTTTAAAAAAGGGTGTTACACCCGCAATTATTTAAAGAATAAAATAAACTTATACGCATGTTAAAATATTCTATTAAAAAATATACTTCTGACCATTTTGAATTAAACCATATTTTGGTGTAGAAAAACAAGAATAAGTGTGACCCTCTGGAATCCGCATGCGGATGAAGTTGCCACATATATGGCTGCTCAAGGAGAGGGAAAGTCGAGGCCCATTTTTGCTTTGAGACACGGAATCGTCAAGCAATATCTCGGTCAGTGAAATTTGGTGATTGCCTACTAATTTTTTTTTTCTTCCACATTATATGATCTTATATGAAGTCGAATAATAAAGCATGGATGTTTGTGTGCAGACAAGTTGTATGTGGAAAATTCAATGTTCAATTCCAAAATCTATTTGGACACTAACAATGCAGCAATCACTGAGTTCAGAGAAAGGTGTTACATGTCCATTTTATGAACTTACATAAGTTGGAACAAATCATGGCCAATTGATATTGATACGATTTATGTCTCTGAGTACCAGGTGGGTGGCAACAAATGGCTTGGACAATCAGTCGAGAGGAGTCAGTCAACTATCTTCACGTAGCACCATATCGGTTCGGGATGAATTCCTCAAGCAGATGGAAAGGAAAACCCTAGAAGAACTGCCTGATATACAAGAGGTTAATATCTGATTCATTTCCTTTTTAGCGTTTCTGCTTTAAAATTTGCCAAACAATATACCACGTCTTAATTGACATGCTTTGTGTAATAAATTTCTATCTTTTGTAAACATGCAGAAGGTTAATTGTGTCGTGTATGCCACAATTGCTTGTATCATTGCAGATGGTGATTGGTTCTATATTGGATGTAACAAATGCACTAGGAAAGCTATTCGACCTATGAAGTCCAATTCTGACAATGACGATTCATCAATTGAAAATGCACCAACCAGTTATGCCGGATTTAAGTGTGAACGTTGCAAACTTGATCCTGCTCAAGTTTCTCCAAGGTTTAGTGTTGATAACCATAATAACATTAATTACAACCTTTATTGTAGTGGCAATGGATATCTATGACAATCTTATTTTGACTTGAACAGGTTCAAAATTCAAGTCCAAGTAATCGACTCTACTGGTTGTGCTAATTTCCTATTGTGGGATAAAGACGTATACAGACTCATAAATCGGAAAGCTTTGCAGCTACGTGAGAATCAAGCTAAGGTAATGGGGTCAATGTTTACTGCGCAAACTCTTTTAGCCTCCCATAAACCTGATCACATGTAATAAAATTTTTAACTTGATGCAGAATTCTTCGGTGAACCGTAAATCATATCCCATTGAGTTGGATGATATGTTGGAAAAGAAATGCATATTCAAATTACAACTACCACAGGAATCCGGCAGCACAAGTTCTACCCAGGTTTACAAAGTTGCGAAGTTGACCGATGAACGAGACATTCTGAAGGAGTTCTTCGAGATTTATGGCTGCGACCAGGTTTTGGCAATATATCACTTCATTCATCATTTTCAACTAATTCCACTATATGTATAACCTTTAACAAAATCAAGTGTTATATGCAGGATGAACAATCCGAATCTGCCATGAAATCGTGGTTCACTAATTCATTATATGCAAAGCTTCCACAGGTATTTGCTTTAAAAGAATCTCCAAATAATGTAAGAAAACTATTTGCAATTTAAAATTAGCTCATTCATGCATTACTGTATAGGATTTTGAGTCACAAACAGATGACAATACCTTGACTCCTGATGAATTGAAGACCACTGCAAGTAGTCCAGCATCAAAGAAGTTAGCCATGCGCGATGAACTTCACCCTCCCAGTGTCCAATCTACAAATCTCCGCAAAAGAAAACTTTTGATTGAGGACAATGATGAGTCCTAAAAGACAATGCAAGGCCATTAACATGAAGAACATGAAGGACCCACGAATCTGTTTGCTATTCCTAAATTATGCATTAAATAACACACATGTCTCATAACCAGCCTTAGGATTCCTATACAATTCGACATTGTTATTTATTTTGATATGTATTTGGATTTCATGGTTTTGTTAACAAAAACCATGTATCAATGACACGGATTTCAGATTATGTGTTTTGTTAGTTTCTTAGAAGATCAAAATTTTCTTTCTGTAAGTTATCACTATCCAAATTAAACTTGAAATCAAATTAATTAACATATATAAAAAAAAAATATTTATGAGACACTCTACCTTATGAACTCAGTCCACTCCTCAAATAATGTAACCAAATTAACCAAAAACAAATTTGAAAATTATACTACACCATAAAACTTCATATATAAGTCATCTAGATGATGAATTCTTATTTGTGTGGTTTCAAAGATATACAAAAAAAAATAAAAAAAAGTTTCTTTAACTTCCCTACAAATAGAGAGTTTGTGAAACATTTATCTAATTATTATATTTGGTATGTTGGATACTCTTAAAAATGTAGGACAACAAAAGATGGATTTTTCTGCTCATTTGTCCAAACTTTAAAAATTGAAAAGTGATCCTTTTCGTACTAAATGTTTACTAAATGTTTCGCCCAGATTCAAATTACTATGTCATTAATTGTTTTTTATTTCCATTGACCATAGGCCAAATTTTATATCATTCCATTAGTGATATAATTATTACAATGATCCTTCTTCATTTCGAAATAGTTGACATATGATTCCCAAAGATCCGAGCCCCAAAGATCCTATTCAATGTGAATCGTAGATATATGATTATGAATCATAAATATATGATTATGATTTGATTAATCAACATATCTTAAAATCCGGAATTATAAAAAAAATTTAAAAAAAGATCCTATTCAATGTGAATCGAAGATATATGATTATGAATCATAAGTATATGATTATGATTTGATTCATCAACATATCTCCCAGCGTCAATCACGTTACGTACTGTAATTACGGAAACAATTATAATATAATATTTACTACAAAGAAATAATCCCTTCCCTTATCATACATATTACCAAAAAAAAGTTTATTAAATTGCTAATGAATGAGGACATACATGTCGCATATGCAAGGATGATTAAGGTCAAGCAGGGAAAGTTCACCCCATAACTATAGCAGGCATCTCCAAAATGATGCCATTTTTTATGTAATTATTAATGTATTCATCAATAATTTTCAAACATTTAGTGTCCAATTAATCACTTTTGAATTTTAAAATTTTGGACGATTGAGCGGCAAAAGTCCAAATATTTGATATCATGCCTTTTTAAGACTTCAAGCTTTACCCGCACGATGTGCATAAAAAAAACTTCACAAACTCTCCAAATAGGTAGCAATGTATCTCAATAGTTTTGCTCAAGAAAGAATGAAGAGGAAGTATCTTTTAGATTCAAAAAGAAAATTGGTACCTCAAATGCCTAATAAAGAACGCGCTGTTACAGCAAGGTATTATAGGAGATTGGTTTTGGCAAGAAAACGACAGAAGAATTCATCCAACAATAATGATATTGATCACACATCAAAATCTCTGTATTCGGGTGCAACAATAATTGCTGGGGATATGTATATAAACACAAATCCCTCTTTTTTGATTCCATATCCATATGCTGCAAATAACAATGGCCATTCAAGCAGTTCAACCATGCAGACATTCAAAATCTCTCCGATGGGTGACATAACAAACGGTACAATTTGCAATCTATCTATTTTGCTAATACAGTTATACTACAATCATTAAGCTTTTGACTAATACAAATTTTTCATACCCAACGTTCTTGGAATCAAAATGGATCGATGTAGTTGTACAACCCACCAAGCAGATTAGTAGAAATGGGAAGACTGCAGATGTGACAAAACTAGACCAAAGGAAGCAACCATGTCAAAAACAACCAAACGGTAATGTATTCGAAACATACAAATATAGATAAAATTTTTAATAAAAAATATTCAACTATCTAACTACATCATTATATTTGTCAAATGATGTATTACTTACTTAAAATGAACTTTCAGGTCCCACTTCACATGTTTTACCCTCAAACATCCTCAGTGAACCTTGCACTTTGAACATGTCAAGTAGTAGTCAAACAATACCACCTGCAAAGCAAAATAATAAAGCCAAGGGTACAAAGAAGAGTGAAAAGTTTGCCAATTCAGGGCCAAAACATAATATATTAATAGCACCAACAGGTATATACAATGTCATTTAGACACAAAAATGAGTTTAAAATACTCTTTATGCTATAATGTTGGTGATTGATAACTTTTTATTTACACATCATTAGAGTATGAAGATCTTGGCGATCCAAACAGCATCTACGAATATTGTGGTGCTATTATGTGGTACGAAGAAAGATGTAGGGGAGACAGGCGATCAGTGAATCCCAAATTTTCACTGTGTTGTATGAAAGGCAAAGTCCAGTTGCCCCGACTAAAGGAGCCTCCTAAATTCCTAAAAGATTTGTTCCTGAATAATCAGGCCAAGAGCAAACTTTTCCTTGATAATATTCGTGCATACAACATGATGTTTTCTTTCACAAGCATGGGTGGAAAAATTGATAATTCAGTGAATAACGGTCGTGGTCCTTATATGTTTAAAATGTTTGGACAAAACTACCACAGAATTGGAAGTCTACTCCCAAGCACTGGATCTACACCCAAGTTTTCGCAGCTCTATATTTACGACACCCAGAATGAAATCAACAACCGAATCTCTACCTTTAGGTATGTCCTAAACATGACTCAAAATTATGTTACAATATATTTAACAACTATTATCTGTGTACCAAAAGTCATGAATCATTTGGGTTTTCAAAGAAATTGTTTTACATGTTTTATTCAAACGTAATCTGTGTCATATGTATATTTGATGTTATTATTCGCATACTAACAAACTTATCATTGATTTATGGGTCTGAACACAGTTCAGGATCTTCAAACTTTGTATCAAAAGCATTGGATCCTACACTAGTGAAAAAGTTAAAAAAGGTTATAGATGATCATAACTAGTTGGCCAAGACTTTTAGAATGGCCAGAGATATGATCGAGGCAAACAAAGGTGAGAAGATAAGATTGAAACTCATTGGAACTTGAGAGAAAGATGGCAGACAATATAACATGCCAGAAGCTTCAGAAATTGCTGCATTGATAATTGGAGATAGCAGTGTTGAATATGACTTTCAAGATATTGTCATACATCACAAATCAGGGGAGCTTCAGCGCATAAACGAGTTGAATCCGTCTTATCTGCCACTACAATATCCAATCTTATTTCCGTTTGGAGAGGATGGATACCACCTTGGTATCATCTTGAAGGATAGGCCAAATCTACAAATGGATTCTGACAAGAAGCGAATAAGGTTAAGTATAAGGGAGTGGTTTGCTTATAGATTGCAGGAAAGAAATAATGAACTTTCAATCATTTTGCTAGCAAAGAAACTGCTCCAACAATTTGTTGTGGATGGGTATAGCATGGTTGAGTCAGAACGGTAGTATTATATTAAGAATAATCAAGACAACCTCAGGTGTGAAACATACAGGAATATTGTGAAGGCAAATCAAGACGGCACAAATGAGGGGGCACATGTGGGGCAGCGAGTTATATTACCATCATCATTCACAGGCGACGCTAGATACATGATGCAGAATTACCTTGATGCGATGGCCCTTTGCAAGGCCTATGGACACCCAGATTTATTTCTCACATTCACTTGCAATTCTAAATGGCCAAAAATTACGAGATATTGTCAAAAGCAAGGCCTCAAGCCAGAAGATAGAATGGACATAGTGACTCGGGTATTTAACATGAAACTGGAAATGTTCATTAAAGACCTCAAAGACAATGGAATCTTTGGCAAAGTGCTAGGAGGTACGCAAATACATGTATATATGTTTTAAAATGTGATTTTTCTTATCCCGCATAACCCATTATACTGACTAAGTTTCATGTTTTGTTGTTAGTTGTATACACAGTTGAATACCAAAAGAGAGGATTACCTCATATCCATGTGTGTTTGTTTCTACATCCTGATGATAAGATCAGGACAACGGATGATATTGATATATTGATAAGTGCGGAGATACCTGACCAGGCAGAAGACCCTGAGTACTATGAATTGATGAAAGAATTCATGATACATGGTCCTTGTGGTGACAACGGACCGAAAAGCCCATGTATAGTAGACAAGAAATGTTCTAAACGATTCCCTAAAAAATTTGCAGAGCAAACCAGCTTCGACTCAAACGGATTTGCGACATATAGGAGGCAAAATAATGGAAGGGTGGTTAAAAAGAATGAAGCTGAGTTGGACAACAGATTTGTAGTCCCCCACAACAAGTATCTTCTGAAGAAATATAAAGCTCACATCAACATTGAATGGTGCAATCAGTCCCGGTCCATCAATTACCTATTCAAATAAATTAATAAAGGACCCGATCGGACAAGTTTCAAGGTTTGCAAATACGCAGATGATACCAATTTAAATAAGGATAATGATTCAGTTGACGAAATCAAGAAATTTTATGATTGCAAGTAGTTTATAAATATTCATCCTTTCATTAGACTTTGAACAATCATTTTATTCTTCTCTGCATGTGATAATCATGTACATTTCAGATTCATGAGTCTCCCTATGATTGCAGGTACCTTTCTGCATGCGAGGCAACTTGGAGAATTTTCCAATTCCCTATTCACTACAGAACTCCTGCAGTGGAAAGATTACCTTTTCATCTTCCAGATGATCAGCTCATAACGTACGAGGGGGATGATTCCCTTGAGTACATTATATCGAAGCCGTCGAGCAACGCATCAAAGTTCTTATCATGGATGGAATGTAATCGGGTGTATGATGAAGCAAAGCAACTCACATATGTAGAGTTCCCATCCAAGTTTGTCTGGCATCAAGACGT